AAACTATTCTTAATAAGACTTCTGTTCATAAATGTTCTGGTATGCATTCTTTATAATGAAGTGTTAATACATCACATCTTATTTATTTTAGCAAATCAGTATATTTTCTGTATTTAATTATCAAAATAATGTAGTTTTAAAAATTTATTTGCAAATATGCTTTTTCCATTTGGCACTATGGTTTGTTGCCTACCTAGCTGAATATATAATATCTGCTTATCCTAAGGCTGTCGATGTACTTAATTTGCTTAAGTGCTAATTTTAAGTAAAGTGCTGTGTATATGAATTTGAATTTTGGAGGTGCTTGATCTATCAACAAAGGAAAATTAGGAATTTCATTATTATGAAATGCTCTTAGAAATCTTAATTGTGGGCTGGGCATGGTGGCTCACGCCTGTAATCCAAGCACTTTGGGAGGCCAAGGTGGGCAGATCACCTGAGGTCAGGAGTTCAAGAACAGCCTGGCCAAGATGGTGAAACCCCATCTCTACTAAAAGTACAAAAATTATCCCAGCATGGTGGTGGGCACCTATAATCCCAGCTACTTGGGAGGCTGAGGCAGGAGAATTGCTTGAACCCAGGAAGCGGAGGTTGCAGTAAGCCAAAATCACGCCATTGCACTCCAACCTGGGTGACAACAGTGAAACCCTGTCTCAAAATAAATAAATAAAAAGATGCAAGAAGTCTTAATTGTGTTTGTTTTTAAAAAAATGTTAAATTTCATGATCAAGTAGGATTCATCCCGGGGATGCAAGGCTGGTTCAACATACACAAGTCTATCAACGTAATTCACCACATAAACAGAACCAAAAACAAAAACCACATGATTATCTCAATTGACACACAGAAGGCATTTGACAAAATTCAACAACCCTTTATGCTAAAAACCCTCAATAAACTCGGTATTGATGGAACGTATCTCAAAGTAATAAAAGCTATTTATGACAAACCAACAGCCAATATCATACTGAATGGGCAAAAACTGGAAGCATTCCCTTTGAAATCCGGCACTAGACAAGGATGCCCTCTTTCACCACTCCTATTCAATATAGTACTGGAAGTTCTAGCCACAGCAATCAGGCAAGAAAAAGAAATAAAGGGTATTCAAATAGGAAAGGTGGAAGCCAAATTGTCTCTATTTGCAGACGACATGATAGTATACCTAGAAGACCCCATCGCCTCAGCCCAAAAACTCCTGAAACTGATAAGCAACTTCAGCAAAGTCTCAGGATATAAAATCAATGTGCAAAAATCACAAGCATTCGTCTACACCAATAACAGACTTAAAGAGAGCCAAATCAAGAACAAACTGCCATTCACAATTGCTACAAAAAGAATAAAATACCTAGGAATACAACTCACAAGGAATGTAAGGGACCTCTTCAAGGAAAACTACAAACCACTGCTCAACGAAATCAGAGAGGACACAAACAGATGGAGAAACATTCCATGTTCATGGTTAGGAAGAATTAATATCGTGAAAATGGCTATACTGCCCAAAGTAATTTACAGAATCAACATTAACCCCATCAAGCTACCACTGACTTTCTTCACAGAACTGGAAAAAACCACCATGAACTTCATATGGAACCAAAAGAGAGCCCGCATAGCCAAGTCAATTCTAAGCAAAAAGAACACAGCAGGGGGCATCACACTACCGGATTTCAAACTATACTACAAGGATACAGTCATCAAAACAGCATGGTACTGGTACCAAAACAGAGATATAGACCAATGGAACAGAACAGAGGCATCGGAGGCAACACAAAATATCTACAACCATACAATCTTTGATAAACCTGACAAAAACAAGCAATGGGGAAAGGATTCCCTGTTTAACAAATGGTGTTGGGAAAACTGGCTAGCCATGTACAGAAAACAGAAACTGGACCCCATCCTGACACCTTACACTAAAATTAACTCCAGATGGATTAAAGACTTAAACATAAGACCTGGCACGATAAAAACCCTAGAAGGAAATCTAGGCAAAACCATCCAGGACATAGGAGTAGGCAAGGACTTCATGAACAAAACACCAAAAGCATTGGCAACAAAAGCCAAACTAGACAAATGGGACCTAATGAAACTCCACAGCTTCTGCACGGCAAAAGAAACAGTCACTAGAGTGAATCGGCAACCAACAGAATGGGAAAAAATTTTTGCAGTTTACCCATCTGACAAAGGGCTGATATCCAGAATTTACAAAGAACTCAAACAGATTTACAGGAAATAAACAAACAAGCCCATTCAAAAGTGGGCAAAGGATATGAACAGACACTTTACGAAAGAGGACAGATATGAGGCCAACAATCATATGAAAAAATGCTCATCGTCACTGGTCATCAGAGAGATGCAAATCAAAACCACATTGAGATACCATCTCACGCCAGTTAGAATGGCGATCATTAAAAAATCTGGAGACAACAGATGCTGGAGAGGATGTGGAGAAAAAGGAACACTTTTACACTGTTGGTGGGAGTGTAAATTAGTTCAACCATTGTGGAAGACAGTGTGGCGATTCCTCAAGGCCTTAGAAATAGAAATTCCATTTGACCCAGCAATCCCATTACTGGGTATATATCCAAAGGACTATAAATCGTTCTACTATAAGGACACATGCACACAAATGTTCATTGCAGCACTGTTTACAATAGCAAAGACCTGGAATCAACCCAAATGCCCATCGATGATAGACTGGATTGGGAAAATGTGGCACATATACACCATGGAATATTATGCAGCAATCAGAAATGATGAGTTTGTGCCATTTGTAGGGACATGGATGAATCTGGAGAGCATCATTCTCAGCAAACTGACACAAGAACAGAAAATGAAACACCACATATTCTCACTCATAGGCGGGTGATGAAAAATGAGAACACATGGACACAGGGAGGGGAGTACTAAACACTGGGGTCTATTGGGGGGAAAAGGGGAGAGCCAGTGGGAGGGGGAGGTGGGGAGGGAAGCCTGGGAAGAAATGCCAAATGTGGGTGAAGGGGAGAAAGGAAGCAAAACACACTGCCATGTGTGTATCTATGCAACTGTCTTGCATGTTCTGCACATGTATCCCAAAACCTAAAAAGCAATAAAAAATTAAAATATATATATATATATTACTGACATATCACTACATTTTTAAAATTCTGTATCACAAAAATTTTGCAAGTTCAAAAAAGATGTTACATTTGTGTGTATGGAAATAATTAAGGTACATCATGATTGTAGTTTAAAAGTTGTACATGATATTTTGTTTGTTCTGAATGATCTATTCCCCATCACAAAGCAAGCGTGAATAAAATTAGGTTAAATGTAGCATGTGGCATCACAGTCTCTTAGAATTTATCTATTTTATTTTAGTGAATACTGTCTGTATCTTCAGTTCTCCTATTTGAAAAAAAAAAAAAAGATAAATAAAACATGGCCAGTGGCCAGAATCTCACTTCTACAAAGATTATGACAGGACATTTGGAATGATGGAAGTATTCTTGTTGTTATTTTGGTTTTTGTGTTTTGTTTGTTTGTTTGTTTGTTTGTTTGTTTTTGAAACAGAGTTTCACTTTGTTGCTGAGGCTGGAGTGCAGTGGCACAGTCTCTGATCTCAGCTCACTGCAACTTCCACCTCCTGGGCGCAAGCACAGCTTCCCAAATACCTGGAACTACAGGTGCACACCACCACGCACAGCTAATTTTTTGTATTTTTAGTAGAGAAGGGGTTTCGCCATGTTGGCCACGCTGGTCTCAAACTTCTGACCTCAAGTGATCCACCTGCCTTGGCCTCCCAACGTGCTGGGATTACAAGCATGAGCTACCACATCTGGCCAGAAATGTTTCATATGTTGATTGTGGTGTTGGTTACATGTGTGTAAGCATTTGTCAGAGTTCATTGACCTGTACACTTACAGTGGTGCATTATATTGTGTGTAAATTATACCTTAGCTAGGCATGGTGGCACATGCCTGTAACCCAAACAGTTTGGGAGGCTAAGGCAGGAGGATCACTTGAGGCCAGGAGTTCAAGACCAACCTGGGCAACATCGTGAGACCCCCCCATCTCTGCAAAATTAAAAAATTAAAATTCTTTGGTGTAAATTATACCTTAATAAAGCTGATTTAAACAGGAAAAAAAATGAGGACAGACTTTAATTTCTAAGTAGGATGGAGTAGTTTGAAGTAAGACATGCTTCTGCTCAGAACAACTAGAATGACATATCAATTATTTGAATCATATTTTAAAGGTATTGGAGACCTGTGAAAGCAATAAAGATTGAGCAAATAAAATTCCAGAGAAAGAAGAATTTTTCAGACAAAATTGGAGTCTCCTCAGGTCTCTCTGGGGTCATTTGCAAATTCTGAGTATGATCTAATGTTTGTGAATCTGGGCTTGGCCCAGACAAGGGTCACCTCTGAGACCCAAAGAACCCAGCTGCGCTTGTGGAAGTTGTGTGAGGGTTGAGGGATCAGCTAGAGATTTGAGAAGCCTTAAGAAACTGATCTCCCACTTAAGACATTTGCTTAATGACACAGCTTGGCTGATTGTGGGGGGGCTAAACATTTGGTTGGTGCAAAAGTCATTGTGGTTTTGTTATTAAAAGTAATGGCAAACCATTTTGCACCAGCCTAATAACTAAGCTAACACCTCAGAAATCAGAGTTGAACTTCCCATGGTATCCAGGTGACAAAGTTCCATCAGCGAGAGGGGCGTTGAAAACAACAGATAAAATTTGAAAGCTCTACCCTGAATCTCCCCTGGGGCATTTGCCAATCTAGACTCAGATACAGACTGAGAACTCACTTTTTTTTTTTTTTTTTAATTTTTTATTGGATTATAGGTTTTGGGGTACATGAGCAGAGCATGCAAGACAGTTGCGTAGGTACACACATGGCAGTGTGCTTTGCTTTTCTTCTCCCCTTCACCCACATTTGGCATTTCTCCCCAGGCTATCCCTCCCCACCTCCCCCTCCTACTGGCCCTCCCCTTTTCCCCCCAATAGACCCCAGTGTTTAGTACTCCCCTTTCTGTATCCATGTGTTCTCATTTTTCATCACCCACCTATGAGTGAGAATATGCAGTGTTTCATTTTCTGTTCTTGTGTCAGTTTGCTGAGGATGATGTTCTCCAGATTCATCCATGTCCCTACAAACGACACAAACTCATCATTTCTGATTGCTGCATAATATTCCATGGTGTATATGTGCCACATTTTTCCAATCCAGTCTATTATCAATGGGCATTTGGGTTGATTCCAGGTCTTTGCTATTGTAAACAGTGCTGCAATGAACATTCGTGTACATGTGTTAGAATGTTTAGAAACGAGATGACGCAATGTCTTCTGTAGTTCCTCATCTGAACTGAAAAGTGATAGGTAACCTTTAGGGCGTTTGCCTCCAGTCACTCTCCTGACTCCTTGATGTGATAATTCCGTAAGATACAACCACTCACCATGACGAGAATGTGCGGGACTCTGGAGGGAAAGGGACTATCTACATCTGTCTCTGCTTGTGCCTCTGGTGGGTTTTACAATAGATGTACCACCGGCCCCGCCTCTTCACCCGGTAACAGTCCTTGCAGCGCTTCTTCAGGACACCCTTGGTTTTGAACCCCAGCGCAGGCAGCATGTGAGGCAGAAGGCTGGGTGAGAGAAAGGACCGCACTCCTGCCCCGGGTTCCACAGCCACGGGGGCAGCACCTCCAAGGGATCCCAAGAGAAACGTGGAGAGGGCTGGAGGCTGCAGTGTGTGACGACTGAGATACAGCAGAGGGTTCACCATTTTCCTTATTAAAAGAGTTGCCATGTCGTGGCGAATCTGAGAACACAGCGCCGGCACCTAGCCCCGCGCCCTCAGCCCGCGCCTGCACTCCCGTGTACCCGCCGGGACGCGGACGCCGCTGCCAGGAAGGAAAATGGCGGCCCACTTTTTTTTTTTTTTAAAGACTGAGTCTCATTCTGTTGCCAAGGCTGGAATGCAGTGATGCAATCTCAGCTCACAGCAACCTCTGCCTGCTAGATTCAAGCAATTCTCCTGCCTCAGCCTCCCGAGTAGCTGGGATTACAGGCATGCACCACCATGCCTGGCTAATTTGTGTATTTTTAGTAGAGACAGGGTTTCACCATGTTGGCAAGTCTGGTCTTGAACTACTGACCTCAGGGAATATACCCACCTTAGCCTCCCAAAGTGCTAGGATTACAGGTGTGAGAACTCAGATTTTACTGTAGGGAAAAGTCTGCTGCCAGATTTCAGAGAAAACACCAAGAATTTTGGTAATCACCTGAAGTAGTGATAATTGAATATAGTGAGGAAATCGGAAATTTGGGAGTTCTCAAATACAAATTTGAGCTTCTTATCAAGAAATGCCTAGATTCTTACACTACATGGAGTCATAGCTAAAGAATTAAACTGAAAAGCTCTTTTTTGTTGTTTTTTGGGGTTTTTTTTAACAACAACAAAAAAAAAAAACCTTGAAGATAGGAAGCTCTTTAAAAGAGCATGCAAATTCCCAATTTTTACATAATGAAGAGGCAAAGCATCATAAGGCTTTTATATGAATGCTGTCAATAGCCATACCTTAGGAATGTGAGTAAATGTGAGCAAATGGAAATAGACTAAATCTTGTAAATTTTGCAAATAAGCTCTGACCACACTCAGTACCAGCTCAGATTAAGGTGATTAACTGCACAACTGTCTAATACAGAAAAAAAATCATCTAAAGCAACAAGGCTTAATGCAATTAAAAATTATGAGGCATGTTTAGGTGCAATAAATGTGACTATTAATCAACAAAAACAATATCAGATTTAAGCAAACAGATGGTCCACATATTGGAGATAATAGACAAGGGCTTTAAAGTAACTAAAATATCTTTCCTCAAATAATTTGGGGCTGTGCATTTTGGTTGGCACCCAGGGACTGCACAGACTCTTGACTTGGTTATGGCTCTCTCTACTGCAGAAGCTTCTCCAGCAGCAGCAGAAGAAACTTTAAAGGCAAATAACTGTTTCCTCCATCCCCTTTGGACCCAGACATTTAAGAAAATCTTTGATAGGTCTAACTGCAGAGATAACCAAACAGAATTTTCAATGATCACACACAAAAGGAATAAATACTCTACAAAAAGTAATTTGAGAAAGTCACAAATGTACTCCAAGAATGTTATGAAGGAAAAAAAAAGAAAGTCACAAATGGATGCTCTGATCCTCAGTGAGCAAAATCAACAAACTCTGAGGAATTAGAGAATCATGTTTTCCTAATTACCACATTATAATATCCAAAGTGTTCAGCAGTCAAAATTACAAAGTATACAAATAAATAGGAATATATGGCCCATTCACAGGAAAAATTAATTTTATAGAGAGCACACTTGAGGAATCCCTAACATTGCAGTTACTAGTGAAAAACATTAAGTCAACTTTTAAACATACTCAATGGGTAAAATAAACCATCAATAAAGAACTAAAGAAAACCTGAAAAATTATGTGGGAACAAAAGAGTAGCCCCTGAATACCCATAAAGATATAGAAAGGAACCAAACAGAAATTCTGGGGCTGAAAAGTATGGGAAAATTCACTAGAGGTATTCAACAGCAAACTTGAGCAGGAAGAAGAAAGGATCCGTGGACCTAAATTTAAGGCAATCGAAAATATCCATTCTAAGAAGCAGAAAGAAAAAAGAATGAAGAAAATGGACAAAGCCCAATGGACCTGTAGGACACCATCAATTGTACCAACATATGCATCATAGGAATTCTGGAAGGAAAGAAAGGAGCAGGAAAAAATTAAAGAACTAGTGGCTGAAACTTCCCATATCTGCTGAAAGACAAGAAGCTACACCTAAGCTCAACAAATTTTATCTTAACTACATCTAAACAACACACTTTACACAATATAAACTCAAAGAAATTTACAGGTAGATTTACAAGAGAATCATCACATATAAAAGATGCTCAATAAGATGAATAGCTGATTTATAATCAGAAACTATGGAGGCCAGAGGGCAGTAGTATGACATATTTAAAGTTTTAAAAGCAAAAATCTCAACCAAGAATTTTTTATCCAGCAAAACTGTCCTTCAAGAATAAAGGAGAAGCATAAAAATTGAAGGAATTCATTACCAGCTGACCTGCTGTACAAGAAATGCCAAAGGGAACCATCAGGCTGAGATAAAGGATATTAGACAGGGACTCGAAGCCATAAGAAGAAATAAAGAACACTGGTAAAGGTAACTACACAAGTGAATATAAAATCCAATGTTATTGTGATTCCTTTTTTCCTTTGTGATGTAAAAAATGCATAGAACAGTAATTACATTATTGTTCTATTTTCTATGTTAATGAGCATTCAGTGTGTAAAGATATAACCTATGAGAATAACAATATAAAGGAGAAAGAATACAAACAAATAAGAGCAGTGTTTGGACTCTATAATAATAACAACTTTAAGTTGTTATTAATAAATGACTACATTAAAAGGAAAGTAGACCTCAAATTAATAACCTAACCTTACACTTTAACACTCTGGGAAAAAAAGCAGGTTAAACCTAAAGCTAGCATAAAAAGGAAATAATAATGATTAGACCAGAGACACACAAAATAGAGAATAAATGCAATAGAGAAAAATCAACAAACCCATAATTGCTTCTTTGAAAAAAATCAACAAAATTGACAAACTTGTAGTTAGATTAAGAAAATAAGGAGAAAGAAGACTCAAGTTACTAAAATGAGAGGGGGAGAGTGAGAGCATTCTACCAATTTTACGGAGAATAAAGGGGATTGTTAGAGAATACGAACAGTTGCACACCAACAAATTGGAAACCTAGATGAAATGGATAAATTCCTAGAAACATACTTTACCAAAACTGATGCAAGAAGAAACAGAAAATCTGAATAGACCTATAACTAGTAAGGAGATCGAATCAATAATTTTTTTAAAAAACACTTTATTAAACATCCCCAAATAAAATCTCAGGACCAGATGGCTTCACTGGGGAATTCTACTGAACATTTAAAGAATTAACACAAAGTCTTCTCAAACTCTTTCAAAAATTGAAGAATAGGGAGGACTAACTACCTCATTCATTCTAACAGGCCAGCATTGCACTAATATGACAGCCAGACAAAGATACTAAAAAGAAAACTTTAGGCCAACATCCCTAAGGAACATAGATGTCAAAATCCTCAGCAAAATACTAGCAAACCAAATTCGGCAGCATATTATAATGACTATGCACTATAATCAGTGGGATTTATCACCAGAAGGCAAAGGTTGTTTAACATATAAATATCAATCGGGCCAGGCGCGGTGGTTCATGCCTGTAATCCTAGCACTTTGGGAGGCCAAGGTGTATGGATCACAAGGTCAGAAGTTCAAGACCAGTCTGGCCAATATGATAAAACCCATCTCTACTAAAAATATTTTTTAAAAATAGCTGGGCATAGTGGCAGGCACCTGCAGTCCCAGCTACTTGGGAGGCTGAGGCAGAAGAATCACTTGAACCCAAGAGGCAGAGGTTGCAATGAACCAAGACGGTGGCTATGAAATATAAGAAATATATATTGAGAGCTATGAGAGAAGTCTTCTTTTTCATTTCTCTTTTGATTGTTGGTTTAACATTTTTCTAGAGAGTCAGCATTAATGGAAAATGCCAAGGTAAATATTCTGTATTGACATGATTCAGCATTTTCTGTATAAATACTCATAAATGCTCATTGAACTAATTCATATTTAAAAGAATGGACATTTACTTGAATGATAGTGGTGTTTCTACTGGTGAGAATTTTGGCAAAACTGATACGCACCTTCAAAGGGGGAAATGAAGAATAATTTATTTTATTTTATTATTTTTATTTTTATTGAGATGGAATCTCACTCTGTCACGCAGGCTGGAGTGCAGTGGCCTGATCTCGGCTTACTGCAATCTCTGGTTCAAGCGATTCTCCCACCCCAGCCTCCATAGCATCTGGGACTACAGGCACCCACCATCATGCCTGGCTAATCTTTGTATTTTAAGTAGAGATGAGGTTTCGCTCTGTTGGCCATGCTGGTCTCAAACTCCTGACCTCAAGTGACTTGCCCACCTTAGTCTCCCAAAGTGCTGGGATTACGGGCATGAGCCACCATGCCCGGCAAGAATAATTTAATAAAGAGAGTATTTACAGAAATGTATGGACAGGGTTAAGGGACCAAAAAGGGATAGCAAACTAAAGCCAGCAGCACCTTTAGCCATTGCCCCTCCTTCTAGAACAGAAGGAGTTGAGGAGAAAATGGTTACCAAAGCCCAGGATACAACAAGACCCAAGACAGCCTGGCAGAGAGGGGCTGGAGGAATGAATATTCTGACATCATTGCATCTACCCTTTCATCCTCTGCTTGAGCCTCCCATTCACTGACCTCATTCAAAGCCAAGAGGTGAATCCACTGATATAATCTACACAGGCCAGCCTCCTGGACACATGATAGAGTGGAGAAAGGTAAAGAGTGGACCTAGGAGAGAAAATGAAAAACAGCTGGCAGAGATCAATCTGTTTGCTCCTCACATGATCTTTAAAATGGGGAATCCCAGCCAATGGGGGTTTTTAACCAAAGCGTTAAAGACACAGAGGGAAGGGATGGAGAATTCCCTTTTTGTTGTCACAGCTGCAACAATTGCACCTGAACTTTGTCCAGATGGAAAAAATATTTATTTACCATCAATTCAGCCATATTTCCATCGGAGGTCTTCATAAAAGGCAACAAAATGTGTTAAAGAAATAATGAGTAGTGGGATGTGGTGTCAGGCACCTGTGACCCCCAGCTGTGTAAAAGGCAGGAGGATTACTTGAACCAAGGAATTCAAGACCAGCCTGAGCAACACAGCAAGACCTGATCTCAAAATAAAGAAATGAAGAAAATTTATTTTTAAAAATAAGCAATTAGTAAATATAAAACAAAAAT